CGGTTGGTGATACTCCAGCTCTGACACCGGTGGTCATTTTCTCTGATGTTTAGGCTACAAGAGAGGATGCTTCGGTGATGTATTTTAATGAGGACAGCATCTTGTCAAATATGGTTTTCAATTACTATCTTTCAGCTTCTGAGGCTGCGTTAGACATGGTTTGTTGTTACAGATACGTGAGACAAGACAAGCTTATTATTGGAAATTTAATTTCCCAGTTTTAAAATTTTTATTTAAATTTCTGCATATTTAGTCCTTCAGTGCAAATAAGCTAACAAAAAAATAAGTAAATGAAATAAATTTCTGCATATTAGGAAATTTTGATAAATTAAGACTCAGTGAAAAGGTGTCAGCTTGACTTGGGGGGTGGAACCTCTCAGGTGGAGGCTGCAGGAAGGGGGCAGCAGCCAACCCTCTGGCCACCCAGGAGTCTCAGGTCCCCTGTGACCAACCAGCCGACCACTGGGTCATGGTGGGAGCTCATGTGCTTGTGCATGATGAGGGAGCAGGAGATGAACTCTGCTCTCCCTAACCCACCGGAAACCAGAGGTCCCCCTTCCTCCTGTCCATCCACGCGTGCCAGGGCGTATGCATCTCCTAGGACACACCACACGGCACTAATCCTACAGCAGGTGAGGACAGCCAGTTACTGGGTGGTCCAGCCTCAGAATCCTGCCAGCCTCCCGCAGAGCCTCCTCAGGCCACACAGCTCTCTGCTGGTGCCTCTTGGGCTCCAGTCTGTAGCCATTCACCGTTTGCTCTGTGGCTCAGAGTTAACCTCCACGTCGCCTACCTGATCCTGAGCCATCCTCACGGTTGACTGTGGCCATGATGTATCCTCAGGACATAAACACCAGAACGTGCAGTGAGGCAGACAGGTTAAGCATGCCATCAGCAGGAGGTGTCCGAGGGAGTCCAGGGTTGCTGCGCAACTCAGGGGGCCAGAGCTTCAAAGAATGGGTATGGGGCAGGGGCTGGCGGGTGTGAGCAGTCACGAGGTGCCACCAGGGTAGAGCCACCAGTGGTGCTGAAGTGCCGCCACCTCACTGGTGCTTGTGTTGCTGGGCTCAGTGCTTGTTAAGCGTAGTGGGCCAGTAACTGTCGCATCGGGTTGTTGTTTTCTTTTTAATTTTTATCTATTTATTTATTTTTTTATTTCAGAATATTACAGGGGTACAAACATTTTGGTTAAATGATCATCCAGTTTTTTGTTTTTTTTTTTTTTTGAGACAGAATCTCACTCTGTTGCCCTGGCTAGAGTGCCATGGCATCAGCCTAGCTCACAGCAACCTCAAACTCCTGGGCTCAAGCAATCCTCCTGCCTCAGCCTCCCGAGCAGCTGGGACTACAGGCATGTGCCACCATGCCCGGCTAATTTTTTCGATATATTTTTAGTTGTCCAGCCAATTTCTTTCTATTTTTTTAGTAGAGACGGGGGTCTCGCTCTTGCTCAGGCTGATCTTAAACTCCTGAGCTCAAACAATCCACCCACCTCGGCCTCCCAGAGTGCTAGGATTACAGGCGTGAGCCACCACGCCTGGCCGATCATCTGGTTTTTAATTTGCATTTCCCAGTTTACTAATAATGTTGAGCATTTTAAAATATGCTTATTTGGAGTTTCTCTTTCATGAAGCTCTTTTTATTGTCTAGAGCAGGAGTTGGCAAACTTTCTGTGAAAGATCCCGTAGTAAGTATCTTATTCCGTGCCCAGACTGCCCTACCCTAAAGCGTAGACAGCACATAATACTGTTCACGGAGCCAGGTAGCACCAGCTTGGCCCCAGGCCTGGTTGGCCAAACCCTTGTCTAGGTTGTCCTCTCAGATGTGTTGTAGGTATTTTCTTCCAGTCTGTGGTTTTTGTCACTCTGGTGTTTTGTTTTTTTGAGACAGTCTCGCTCTGTCAGCCTGGCTAGAGTGCAGTGATGTCATCAGAGCTCACTGCAACCTCAGACTCCTGGGCTCAAGCAGTGCTCCTGCCTCAGCCTCCCAGAGTGCTAGGATTACAGGCATGAGCCACTGCGCCTGGCCTCTCTCTGGTGTTTTTTGATAAATCAGTGTACTTGTTTTTAATTAAGTTGATTTTATTAGTCATTTCCTTCATGGTTAGTACTTTTGATTTTCTGTTTCATAAATCTTTTCCCCACCCAAGATCATGAAGATGTTCCCCTTGGTATATTCTGAGGTGTAACCTGTGCCTCTCGAGTCCAGTCTCTGTCCCACCCTCCACCGACCCCCACGCGCTGGTAACAGGGTGGGGATGGGGCCTGTGACAAGATAGGAGTTTGGGGTTTTTTCCAATTTCACCACTAGGGGTAGTGTTTGTTGTCTTTTTTTAAACTGTAAGATACACTTTTTGTTAAGGTATAGTTTGGTTTACACATGCTGAGTTTCACCGGTTTTATTGTGCATTTGGCAACTTTGCCCCCATCCTGTCTCTTACCACAACCCTGTGACCAGTTCCTGACCTGCCTGGACCCTGACCTGCTTCCTCCCACCAGCTTTGCCTTTTCTAGAACTGCGTATCCCGAGAGAACACGTGTCTGCGTCCTTTCAGGTCTGAGTCCCCTCCTGAGGGATCACACGCCTGCATCCTTCTGAGTCTGCCTGCCCTCTCGTGCGGCAATCCCGTGCCACTGGGGCAGCCTCCCTCGTTCATGTCAGTTTCTGAGATGCGTCTGCTGTAGGGATGGGCTCTGTGTTACCTGTCCGTTTACCTGTCGGTGGCATTGGGGTTGTTTCCAGTTTGGGGCTGTTACAAACAAAGCTGCTTTGAACATTCAGGTATGACAATACATGTGTTAGTGTCTCTTTTAAATAGAAAACTTTTATTTGGTTAAAGATATTTCCTTCTCAGCATACTAAGAGTTTTTTTTTTTTTAATCATGAATGGGTAATGATTTTATCAAATGATTTTTATGCATCTGTTGGGAAGATCATATGATTTTTCTCTTATCTTTTGTCTTGGATTACATTTCACTGGGTGTTAAGCCTACCTGGGGTTCTAGGGATAAACCTAATTCGATCAGAGTGATGATCCTCCTTACGCTGGCTGAGGGCGACTAAGATTTCGCTATGCCTGTAATCTCCCTCCTGGTTCTGACCTTGTCAGGGTTGGCTCTGTACATCAAGTTAGTTTTATAAAGTGGGTTGGAAAATACTGTTTTTTAAAACTCTCTGGGACGGTTTGTTTGTGATTGGATTGTCTGTTCCTTGAGCATTTGGTAAAACCACCCTTGAACTCCTCCAGGCCTGGAGTAGTCTTTGAAGGAAATTTTTTGACTACTTATTCAGCTTCCTGAATAGTTTCCTTCCTTTTCAGTTTTCTCTACTTGCCTCAATTCTGCTGGATTATTTTTCTAGGAATTTGTCAGTTTCATACGAATGTTGAGTTTTATTGGCATGAAGTTGTTCATGATAGTCTAGCAGTGCTCAAATGCCACTCCTCAGGTCGACCACCTGGTTTAGCGCCACAGCCTCCTGACAGCGCCCTGCCCTGGGGTGCAGTCAGAAGGACCGTGGACATTCGTCCGGAGTAATCTAGAGATGATTTGAAGTGTGCGGTGATGTGTGCAGGTTACATACAAATGTCACACCATTTCATATCAGGGACTTGAACATCTACGGATTTTGGTATCAGAAGTGGGTCCTGGAACTGATCCCCCAGGATACCAAGGGATGGCTGCATTTGTCACCTTTTATTATACACACTAAGTGTTTTACTTGCTCCTTGTTTATCGTCTGTCTCCCTCCACTAGAACATGGGCTCTGGGGATCTGTGCCTTTTCACCGAAGTCTAAGAACTTAGGAGTCTGGAGGCTCAGAGTCACCTGGGAACCCCTGGCCACAGTCTAATTAAAATGAAATACAATTAAAAATCTGGTTCCTCAGTCCCACGAGCCGCAGTCCAAGTGCCCCACAGCCACGTGTGGTCAGTGGCTGCCCGTTCAGCAGCAGAGACATGGAAGCCTCCAGCATCACAGAACTTTCTGGAAGCCTGGCCAGCATCTGGCTTTATTCTCTTTGTCCTGTTTCTCTTCTTATGCCCCGGACATGCCTGCTAATCTTCCCTTATAGTTGCCTTGGAAGCTTCTTTTCTTTCCTTCCTTCCTCCCTTTTTTTGTAAAAGTTAACTGAGCTTCAAGAATGAGTTAATAAACATGCAGTTACAGTGAACTCGAAGGTAAAAATGATATAAATTGGGTCTAAGATGGACATGGTGTGAGTATCCTTTAGCCAGCTGTTTCCAGGTTGTACTGATTGCTGTCTGAGAGCCCTGACACCCGCATCTACCTCCAGTGGTGTTTCCAAGCCTTCTCTGGAGACGCCAACACCTGGATGGGAGCGTGGGGGAGGCTCGCTGGAGTCCCTGGCACCCTCCCGGCTCCGGCTCACCCCACCGCCTGTTCCTTGGGTGGGGCCAGTATGCCCCTGGCCTGCTTGCTGACTCTCTGCGGCCCCTCCCTGGCCCCAGTGTGACTACTGCCATCCTCTCCCACAGAACAAGCCTGTCCTCTTCCCCACCAAGGCCTCCTGCCCAGGGCTGAGAGGGGGCTTTGGGGATGCAGAAGCCCCACTGGTGTGTGAGCTGAGCAGGGGGTGTGCTATTACTGTCCTTCCCCAGGCCCTGCCATTCACCCCACCTCCCCCAAAATCCAACCCCTTCTGGGCCTTCCCCAGACAGTGTCCTGTCTTCCTGGGCCCAAAGCAGCCTGGTGGAGCCCCAACCTGCCCCCTGCGCCCCCAGGAGCTGCTGCACACATGCCCCTGCTCCTGTTGTCTCCAAGGCCTCAGCTGGGCCATGTGACCTGTGTCCCTGTGGCAAAGCCCATTCTGCACCATCATTGGCTCCTATTTTTCTTTTGGTTGTTTTAAGGAAGTAAATGAGCAGATCTGTTGAACAGCCAGGCTCAGAGTTGCTGGTGGGGCAGGGGGCCCAGCGTGTGGGGGGCATGCCTGGCCGTGCATATGTGTGTGACACCCTGTTTTGTGCTTCTCCTCAGGCTTCACCATGTAGCGGTACTCCAGGCTGTCATTCTCAGGTAAATGCAATTTTAGCTGATTTTTTTCCTTCTTTCCGTGCCTGTGAATTGATGAACTTTACCATGAATTACACTTTGTGAGTATATTGTAGCCATAGAAAAAGTCAATTCCTTATAGCTCCTTTCAAATGTAATCGCTGAAGACTGACTCTGTGGAGTTATTTCTATATCTTCGCACTTTTCTCCTGACTAATGTTTCCACTGTTTGCCACGTGGGACTTGCTAAGGATTCTAGTAAGAACTTCACGACAGGATTGTAGCAATCGCACATAATGACGCAATGTGAAATAACAGGTCCCGTTTCTGTACTAGAAAATGGAAAGAGAGCAGAGGCCAGGAGGAAGGTGCAGAAGCGAGCCCAAGCCCGGAGCGAGGCAGGAGCATCGTGTCGGAGTGGTGGCCTGAAGCCCCCATGCCCCGGCAAAGGGACAGACAGGCAGACGTCTAGAGGAGGTGAGCCTGCCCTCCAGCCGGGGGCCACCATCCCACTGGTCTGCACTCTTGGGTGGGGGCAGCAATTCTGAGGCCCTTTGTGCAGAACCAGGTTTGGGACTTGTGTTTCTCTGCTGAATTTTCCTGACAGTCCTCACGTGTGTCCTCCTTCCTTTGAGAGTCAGAGGCAGATCGGGCTGTGGGGACCTCAACCTCAGCCCTTGATGGCAGCCATGCTGTGCAGAGGACTGGGTCTCCTGCTCCCTGGCTCCGTTGGGCTCCCCCCTCCTATGTCGGGGGACACTGCCATGCAGGGGCTGCCGAGTGCAGGGCCTTTGCGGCAGTGAGAGCTGTGAGCGTTTGCCGTGTCGGGATGTGCTGGCCTCGGCATGTACCACGGGGGCATGAAGACAGACGTGCCGCTTCTCCTCAGTGAGCAGCCCCCGAGCTTGGGGGCACCACCCCTGGGCCATGTGAGAGGCAGGTCTTGTCCTCCTTGTGTGCCTGGCACAGCCTTTGGCCTCTGTCCCGGGCTCGTCAGGACTAGCCCTGAGCCCGGCACTGTGTGCAGCAGCCTGCTCCTTGACCGTCCTTGCCTCTGTGACTGTGACAGTGTTGAAAGCAGCCAGCCCCTACTTGGGGCTTGTCCGGTTTCCCGGGGGTGAGTTTTGGGCTGTGCACTCTTGGCAGGAAGCCCCCGGAGGAGGCTGAGTCCTTCCCGGCCATATCAGTGGTCGCCTGGCTTCTGACCGTGGTTACTGTCACAGTGGTGTCCATAAGGCTTCTCTACCTGAAGTCATTGTTTCTCCCTCTATTGAACAAGCACGTGGTGGGTACATGGGAAAGTTCATGGTATTCTCTCCCTTGACAGTCTCATCCCTGTGTAGCATGCACTGCGAGCTCCTGAACAAAGTATCACTATGGTCGCTGTAGTGCAGCAGTGGCTTTCTAACCTGTCATTCCTCCCGCACTGACTAGCTCACGTTCTTCTGCAAGGAAGAGCTGTCCCTTTTTTTGTTTATCTCACTGTGGACACAGGAGCATCTGTGATTCTAATCTATAATACCTGAAGCCACAGTTCTCCCCAGGTGGGGCCCTGGGAGCCCTTCACACTGGTCCTTGTTGGCTCCTGAGCACTGTGGGACACTTCATGTTCATGCCGAGCCTCCCTGCCCATCCCTGGGTCAGCTGCAGATGCTGGGATCCTTGGTTTTTCTTCATGGACACTGGTGTGGAAAGACCAGGAGCTGGGTTTCCTGTACCCTGTGCTGCTGAGGAGTGGCCCTGTCCAGGCCTGGGTGGGCAGAGTGGGGCCGGCATATGAGCCACATGCCCCTGGCACTGCGCCCACCAGGTGTGGCCCACAGCACCACAGGGCTCGTCCCACCTTCACCCCACCATGCTCAGACTCCTTTTCCATCAGTGGAACCTGGCTCCATGGTCCTCTGTACATGTCACATCTCCCAGGGGGCAGGAGGAGCAGGTTTGACTTTGGAAGGTCTGTGACAGTGGGTAGGGAGTACGCGGCTGGCCAGGGGAGGTCCCCTTAGCACTGCTGGTTGTGGGGATCAGGAATGGCCTCATAAACGAGCTCTCACGGCAGGGCCCCCAAGGTGAGCCCAGTTGGGGCTGTCATGTTGAGATGGTGAAGCCCATGTACGTGGCAGTTGGTGTGTCTGGAGCTCAGCAGAGAGATGGTAACGATTGTGTGACAAGTGGCATCGTGAATACGGTAGTGTGTGTCACCAATTTTCTGTGCCCATTGAGGGAAAAGTCTACCTGCCTTACTTCCTGCAGATGCTGTGGGAAATGAAGATGGCGCATTCCACCAGGGCAGAGCAGGCCCTAGGGCTCAGTGGTTGCAGTGACATCAGGAATGTGGCCTCCCTGCTGCAGCCCTTGTGTTTTCCTGCCAGCCAGCAGGCCCTGGTGGTCAAGGGAGCGGCCCACAGCAGTTCCCCAAGGCAGGGCTCATCCTCTACTGGCTGGTGTGGCCCAGAGCTGGGCCTGGCCTTGTGTCCACCCTGAGAGGTTTGATCAGGTCCTCACACCCACGTCCTGTGGACGGACAGAGTGAGAGCAGAAGCTCTGGGAAGAAACATGGCTGATAGACAGAGTGGTGGGGGGCCCACGAGGCTTCAGCACATGCACACTTGGACTCCAGATGGGTGCTTGGGGGTCTCTGGTGCTGTGTGTGCTGGGCTGGGACATCCTTGAGTTGCGGGGAGGATGGGCGAGAAGGCACAGCAGAGGGCCCAGGTGCCCGCGGCCTGCCTGGCTTCGTACCCACCCAGGGCAGCTCCCCCTCCCCTCCTTCCTGGCCTGCAGCACAGTCTGCTTCTCCCTCTCTCTCCCCTAACCTTTCTGGAAGACAGACACCCCCTTAGCAGCCGCTCTTGGTGGGTCACTGGGGGAGGCATCCCCTCACCAGAGCTTGAGGCAGGAGGAGAGAAGCGTGTTGGGGGGCCGGGGGGACGAAGCCAGTACCCCAGGACAATGAGGGTGCCTTGTGTAGGACCACGTCCTGCAGGTGGGGGAGCGTGCTGGCTGTGACTGAGCCTTCAGGGCATCTCAGATACTGACTGACCCGTATGTGCTTTTCTCTGCAGGAGCCAAAGATGCTGACCAGGAAGGTCAGGCTGTGGGACATCAACGCCCACATCACCTGCCGCCTGTGCAGCGGGTACCTCATTGACGCGACCACGGTGACCGAGTGTCTGCACACGTGTACGTGCGACTGCGCCAGGTCTCGGGGGTTGGGCAGCTCCTACCATATGCTGTGCACCTAGAGCCCTCAGCCCAAGCACAGAGTGCAGCAGGACCAGGAGCAGGAACACAGAGCTTGAGGATGAGTCAAAAAAATCATTTCAAGTTAAAAATACAGTGGTGGTTTCAGTGGAGATGAGGGGTCGCTTGGGAAAGCTGCGTTGTTTCTGTGCAACAGCAAGATCAGTGACTGCATGTAATAGAAAGAATGTTTGCTTCTAACAGGGAGAGATGCTCATTTTTCACATCTCCAATTGAAGTCCTTAAATTTTTCAAGCAGAGCTGGTTTGTTCCTCACCCCCAGCAAGCCTGTGTTTGGACTGTCAGAGGACTCAGCTGGTGCAGAACCTGGGCTGCCGCAGCGGACGGGCAGCTGCCATGGGCTCCCGGGAGGCTCAGTTCTGAGTAGGGTGGCTGGAAACGCCAGTGGAAGAGCATCTGTTGGTTGATGAGGAGCATTTTGCTTAAACAGGATCTTTAAAATAAATTGGATACTTGTAACACAGATGATTTTTGATTGTGTATTTTTCACTTTAGAAAATAAAATATTTGCCAATTTTTATAGAATTTTTAATTTTATAGTTGTACTTTTAGATACTGGTGGGCATAATTTTATATGTTAGATTATTTTCATTGAATTTTATCTAGTTTTATTGTACAAAGAAAACATCATGGTCCTCTAGACAACTTAAACAAAATGTTACACATCGTCCCGTGTTCTGATGCCCCCAGCTCTCGCCTCGTGATGATCATCTCCTCACTTTAAGTTTTTCTCCCCATTTAATTCCTAAGCCTTAAACCTGTTGAGTATAGCAGTTGCCTGGGTGTCAAAACCCTCCCCTTGTTTAGTGAGCCCTTCCAGACGCTGGAACTGTAAAGGGATGTTGGTGTGTCTGCCTGTGTTCGTGTTCAGCGAGCACGGGGCGTGAAGTGGCATCTCAAGTCTGGATCTTAACTTTCTAACGCACATGTGCTTTTGATAACAGTCTGTAGGAGTTGCCTGGTAAAGTATTTGGAAGAGAATAACACCTGCCCGACGTGTCGGATCGTGATCCATCAGAGCCACCCGCTGCAGTACATCGGGTAAGTGCTGGCAGGCGCCCTTGGTGTCTGTGTCCTGTGAGCGTGGGCGGATCACAGGTCCCAGCCTGGCAGCCCGTTCTGTGTGGGCAGCAGCCTGTCCTGGCTGAGGCACCCCCGTGCCCACACTGCGACACCTGCACCCACTGCTCACCAGGCCAGGATTGCCCAAGCAGAGCCTGTAAATTTCCAGCAAATGATCTGAGAAAGCTCAAGGCCAAATGGAGTTTACACGTTTTACAGTGAATTGCCTGAAGAAAACTTTGGAGTGGAGGGCAGCCCTCATGCCTACCTTTCTGCCACGGAGCAAGTGGGCCCTGGGGTGCTGGGGCCCTGGCTGCCCTGTGCTGCCTCCCTGGGTCTCAGGAGGCCAGACCCACCCCCGTGCCAGCCGCCACTCCTGAGGAAGGGTGAGGGGCTGACTCGGCCCTGACCTGGGCCAGCCGACGGAGCGTGTGGTCCTCCCACAGAGTGTGAAACGACTTTCAGATTGGAGGGGTGTCCCTAAAGGAAATGAAATGCTCCCTGTACCAAATGAGAGCAGCAGAGATAATTCTAGAGACAAATCTTGAAGGAAGAAAGGCATATGTTTGTTTTTCACTTTTAAAGTTGTGAAATTTATCATGCATACAGTTTAGAAGCACCTGAACAGCTTAGAGCATCACAAAGGAGAAGCAGCTTCAAGGTTAACAAGTAAAAACTGCCGGTGCTCAGAGCCTCCCTCTAAGCTTCCCACCACAGGTGCATCCCAGACAGCACAGCTCGGCCTCACAGTTTCTCCAGCTTTCTAGACATGGGACCAGCTTGTGTTTTCTGCATGCCCTGCTCCTTTGATGGATCCTTGCAGTGTGTGTCACCCAAGCTCAGCATCCCTGGGAGAAGGCCCCACAGCTGTGTGTCCAGCTGGGCTCTCGGTACACGGCACCTCTCTGGGCATTCCTGCTGTGCCCCCCTGCCCCACCTCCACTGTTGGCCCCTGGGCGCACGGTGTCCTATCTTCCTGCTACATCCTGGCCAGTGCTTGGCTTGAAGGTGTTTAGTTTTGACAACAAGAGGGCTCTGGGGGGGCGTCTCATCCCACCACCCTGATCATGCGTGAGCTCAGACAACTTCCCAAATGTTGACCAGCCACTCGGGCTTTTCTTTTGGGGGTGACTGTTCACGTCACATGCCACCTTTTCTGCCAGCTCTGCTTGTTCTGCTTTGGAGAGATTCTGGGTGCCCATTATTGGCAGTCAGTGTGCACGTGCTTTCTGTCTTGGGGGTGCAGTTTTGCAGAGCTCAGGAGGGCTTCCCCACATGAATTGCTGAGGCAGGATGTAGTGCAGGTATTCATGCTGGTAGGGGTCAGGTGGCCTGGGGAGACTGTGCTCCCCTTGTCTAGGACACAAAGCTCTGGCAGCCCCCTACCATGCTCTGAGAGGCTAAGATGGGGAGCTATCTTAGGGACCAGGTGCTCTTTTAGTCATCCGAGACCCTCTCATCACAGGCATAGACTGTCATGCTAAGACAGAGGATGCAATAGGGGTATCAGGCAGTGTAGAGCTGGCCAAGGGCAGGTCTAGGCACAGGGGGCAGTGGTGGGACAGGGCAGGTGCAAGGGCCTTGGGGTCTGTGGCTTGGGTCAGCAGGGGACCAGCTCCACCTCTTGTCTCAGGTCTTTCTGGGAGCTCTCTCTGTGCTGTGCTTACATGGTGGCTGGCGAGCAGGGCCATGGCAGGCAGAGATGGCAGGGCTAGGTGCAGATGTGTGTCCTGCTGTGGGCCATGGCTTCCACAGTGGCTCTTTGTCTGCTTCTCATTGGCTGTGTCCCAAGCTCTACCTGGACTGCAGCCTTCACACCCCTCCTGACAGCAGCCTTTGTTCCTGATATGACTTTGCCCACACTGGCCTTCCCCCTGATCCTGCCCCTCCCAGAGCTGGGCGAGGTGGCCAGTGGGGCCTGGTAGCGTCACAGAGGCCGAGGGTGGTCAATCTTGCTTGGCTTTAGCATTTATGTTTCAGGACATGGGCTGGGACAGTACAGACCAGGGCTGGGGTCATGGTGGGAGAGTTGCCTCATGCAGATACTCAGCCCTGGGCCCACAGGATCTGGCGGAGACCCCAGAGCCAGTGGGGGTGAGGTGGGTGCAGCATCTGGTCTGGAGTGTAAACCTGTTAGCCATGAAGACACAGTCATTCTGCATCATCCCTAAGGAAGGGCCGTCACCTGCCTTCCCCCACTTCCCAGCCCCCGACACTAGGTCCCAGCCAGTGGATGAAGCCTGGCCACAGTCACTTGGGGCTCAGATGCCCAGTGTCCTCTCCTTGTAGGTTGGACAAGCTTTAGAAAGAGCCAGGGCATGGGACAGCAGGAAACATCGGGGGCATCATGTGCCTGGAAGGCCACCGTTTCCCCATGCCTGGGCAGGTGTTACCCACATGGACACCAGGATGCGAGCGAGCTGGTCGTGGTGTGAAATGTGCTTCCTATGTGGAATGCCCCGCCTGCTGGTCATCCCACTGCTGGGGTGTTGCCAAGACTTGGAGAGCCTGGTAGCCAGCAGCCTGCGGAGTCCTTCTGGAAGTGGCCAGAGACAGTCTCTCAGGACCCGGATCACCCACAGTGGCTATGGGCCCATGGGTGTGCCTGGCCCTGGTAGCTGAATTTCTATAAATTTTGTGAAATCTAATCATTTGTCAGTTATTTAGACCTTACTGATTTGGGCATACAAGGGTTTTCTTTTTAAAGAACTGATGTTTGGAAATTAAAATTCATTTGAAAGTTAGGAAATTCTCTAGCACTTTTTTTTTTTTAATTTCAGCATATTATGGGGGTACAGATGTTTAGGTTATATATGTTGCCCTTGCCTCCCCACTCCCCCCCCCCAAGTACGAGTTTCAAGTGTGCCCATCCCTTGGATGATGCACATTGCACTCTTTGTGTATACAAATACCCGTCCCCTCCTCCCCCTCCCCCTCCCCCTCTAGCACTTTTTACCCCAAAATGAAAACAGTTAAAGTAGGAACTAAATTTGAAGTACTGTGCTTATGTAGTCTTTTCAGAAACCCTTATAGCTCGGTTGTAAAGACCACAGAAGGGCCTGGTCTTAAGGATGTTTCTCTATGTTGTTTGGAAACATTACAGAAAGGCTTTCTGCTCAGTGGAAATCCCAGAGACTGGGAACCCCAAGACACACTCAGGGGAGGTGTGGGGCCGTCCCAAACACTGGGTGTCTGGCCAGGGTCACTAGGGGTGGACGATCACAGTGTCTGCCATCAGCTCACATCTAGCAGGCAGCGGCCCTGGTTCCCTGAGTGACCTTCTTATCTGTGCTGTCATCATTTGAATGTTTGTAAGCAGCCAGGGCCTAAATTCGATGACACATTAATCAAGTCATACATAACTTTGGTAGCACAAACATATTTTCCTGTGTAAACTGGAAGTAAAATTCTGCCAAAACTCCAAATTTGTGATTCTGGAGTTCAGTATTGTTAAGTGGAAAATGAATGAGAATTGTAGAATTGACATTTCTGGCTAACTCCGCCCATTCTGTTCTTTTGCCAGTCATGACAGAACCATGCAAGATATTGTTTACAAATTGGTACCAGGCCTCCAAGAAGGTAAGTCTTAGAATGTCTCCTAAGTCTAAGCCCGTTCTGGAAGCCTTGGATACTGGCTAGAGGCATAGACTTCTTTTTCCTTTCATTCTGTTTATTCATTCAGCAGCTACTGATGGCACCACTAGAGCATGGGAGCCCTTGTTTGGGCGGTAGGGCTCTTGCCCACCCCGAGGTCTTGCCCCACACCCTGAGTCCTGCCTGCCTCCCCCAGGTCCTTTCCCCTTCTCAGAGGTCCTGCCCCCCTCCCCCAGGTCCTTTCCCCTTCTCAGAGGTCCTGCCCCCCTCCCCCAGGTCCTTTCCCCTTCTCAGAGGTCCTGCCCCCAACCCTGAATCCTGCCCCCCTCCCCGAGGTCCTATCCCTCTCGCAGATGTCCTGCCCCCTCCCAGAGGTCCTGCACCTCTCCCAGAGGTCCTATCCCTCTCCCAGAGGTCATGCCGCCCTCCCAGGGGTCCTATCCCTCTCCCAGTGGTCCTATCCCTCTCCCAAAGGTCCTGCCGCCCTCCCAGAGGTCCTATCCCTCTCCCAGTGGTCCTATCCCTCTCCCAGATGTCCTGTTCCCCCAGAGATTCTACCCGCTACCCTAACATTCTGCCCCCCTTCCAGAGGTCCTGCCCCCTATCCGTCCCGTAGCAATAGCCTCACCAAGACCAGATGAGCAGAAACAGCTTGGCTGATACATGCTGTCAGAGCTGATAGCTGGAGTTTCAAGAAAAGCTTCATTATAAAGTCAAATTTCATTTAGAATTGAGAATAAATATTAGGTAGTATAAATATCCTGAGAGTGGAAATAAATTATTTAGGAATCATTCTATTTAAAACATTTCTGTAGTTGTGAATGCTGAAATGGGAGCCGCCCTTGTTGTCACGTGTGGGACGTAGGTGGAGGAGAGTGGCCTCCCAATTCTTGCCCAGGGTCTGGGTGGCGGGTGCTGCCTGCTGAAGGCCCAGGTACATTTTCCTGGCAAGATAGACATGTTAAGAATTCATTCGGAGGCTGGGCATGGTGGCTCACACCTGTAATCTTAGCACTCTGGGAGGCTGAGGTAGGAGGATAGCTTCAGCTCAGGAGTTCAAGACCAGCCTCAGTACAAGCGAGACCCCATCTCTGCTAAAAATAGAAAAAATTAGCTGGGCATGGTGGTGTGCACCTGTAGTCCCACCTACTCGGGAGGTTGCGGCAGGAGGATCGCTTGAGCCCAGGAGTTCAAGGTTGCTGTGAGCTAGGCTGATGCCATGGCACTCTAACCCAGGCAACAGAGTGAGACTCTGTCTCAAAAATAAAAGAAAAGCATCCATTTGGGCTGTTTCTCATTGTTGTATTTCAGAAAAGGGTTATAATTTAAAGTGCAGCTTAGTGTGTTAGATCAGCAGAAGTTGTATCTGACCTTTAATATGTGACTTGGGGAAATGATGCTGTTAGAGGCTTTGTTCACTATTCACAAGATTCATTCACACAAGAAGAATTTAGATTTCCTAAATAATGTAGATAGAAACAGTCTTGATGTCTGAAAGCTTTTTACTTCTGGGAAAAGGCAAAGAATTCTTCAAAATAAAATGCTGAGACCTTAAGAACTGTTTGCAATGGAATGTTTTAAACATATAAAAGTTGAGCTCCACGAGAACTCCACGTTTCTCACCTGCACCAGCAGTTTCCCGCCGTGGGCAGTCTTGTTTGTCTGCTCCCCTCACCCCACCTCATGTTATTTTGTCTATAATGTTGTGGTATATATCCCTACAGAATGAGGATTTTTTAAAAAATGCATAACCACAATACCTTTATAATAGTTAAGAAATAGCAGTGATTCCTTAATATCAAATATCCACTCAGTGTTGACATTTCTATCAATAGTTGTCTGATAAATGCCATCTTTTGCGATTTTGTTTGTTTTCCTTTATTTCAATCAGGATTCAAATAAGTTCCACGCCTGACACTGACTCCTAGGCCTCCTTCAGGTCCCCTTCTGTCCCCATCTTCCCTTCGTTCTGGGGTGTCCCCTGGGGACTTGCTGAGGGCCTCTTGGGAGGCCCCGAGGCGGTGGGATTGGGATCGGATCTGGCTCGTGTTCTCGGCAAGCCTGGAGCTTGTTTTCCATGTGGAGCAGGTGTCATCCAACCAGCTGGGGACAGCCGGACTCAGATCCTTCGGTTGTCACAGGCAGTAAAGCAGTCCCTTTTCAGTTCTGTGGTTCCTTCTTCCTGTGTTAGTTGGAATACTTCCGTAAAGACCCACTTAGCTGTTTGGTCCAGTCTGCAGAACAGTGCATGGCCTTTCCTTCATTTGTGTTCAAAACTGGCCTCTGCATTCACCGTCAGGCTGGTGGCTTTAAACCTATCAGGTGTTCTCAATTCATTGCATTTTTGCCCTTTTTGAAGCTCTGATCCTCTCTCCTCTGTGGCCAGCAAGCAAGCACCTCTTCACATTGGCTCCTGGGTCCCTTTGACATGCCCAGTGGGCTTGGGTGCTTCTGGTGCAGGCAGGTGTTGGGGCTGCCCTGTCTCCTCCCTGCCCCACTACGTCCGGGGCCCAGGCTCCCTTAGTGGGCAGTGGTGTCTCCAGGCCAGGAGGCTGGGTGCTCAGGGCCCTCTGACACCCTTCGTAGTGGAGGTTTTGGTCACAAAGAAGTCGTGCAGTGTGAAGACCACCTGGCTTTGAGCCAGTCGTTGGCCTCCACACACCTCGGCTTTCCTGGCACTGTCACTACACCTTGCTCTTTTCCAGCATGGACACAGTTCAAGCTCTCCAGTGCAGCGAGACCCTGGCCCTTCCATGTGCAATGCTCCCTGGCACATCTTCTCTCGGACCCGTGTTTTTTCTGTCTATATTCATTTGTTTCTCAATGAGGCAAATATTCCTTTGTTTCTCAAGCTTTCAGTCATTTGTTGTTCTTTAGAAAGATTTTTCCAACTCGAAACCCTTAACAGCATGACTGTGTTCTTGACGAAGGTTGCCTGCAGTTTCTTTGGTTTTCTTTGTTGTGCCAACAGTCATAAACGTACTTTCTCAGACCAGAGGCCTCTTCCTGGAGCATGCGTTAACCACAGTTGTGTGGTGGTCAGACAGTACCTGCCCTCAAGACTCCAGCATTGCTTCTTGGAGGGGAACACTAGCACTGTCCCCACCTCCTACTGCCTGGGCCCTGCCCAAGCCCCTCCTAAGCTGTGGCCTTTCCTCCCTGCTCTTGCTGTGACAGAGGCCTCACCTCGCAGCGGTTCCCTCGTAGATGAGAGGTGGGGATTAGGTTTTTAGTTGTTTGTTTCTTTTTGTTTTTATAATTCTTAAAAACCTGTCTTCCCAGAGGCACATCTTTATCTGTAAAATTTATTGAATTACCCGTCTTTACTCTCACAACGCCACTGCCCTGCTTTTCTTCACGCTGCTCACAGCTTCCTTCACGAATGGATGTGGCACGGTATTTGGTGCGCCAGGCTCTGCTCTGTCCTTGCTAATGGTCCGGAGGATTCCTTCCGTTGGCTCTATCTACAGATACTTAACATGCTTCTCAGTTTTTGATTTAAAAAATAAGGAACAGTGAATGTCCTTTTCTATGCTTTTGTGGGGTGACTCTAGCTGTTGGTTTTATTCTGAAAGTAGAACTGCTGGGCCAAAAGGAATCTGCACTTTTATTTCTTGCTTATTGCGCTGGCTGGAACTGGGGTCAGCACACTACAGCCCACAGGGCCCCCACCCCCGCCTGTCTCATGTGACCTGTAAGTTAAGAATTGCTTTTACATTTTTAAATAGTTGGAAAAATCAAAAGAATATATTTTGTGACATGAAAATTACCAGAATCGAAATTTCATTGTACCTGAATAGTTTCATTGGAACACAGCCACACTCATTCCATTCTGTGCAGTCAGAGCTGAGTATTTGCAACAGGCCACGCGTGTGCTTGGCATGCAACTGTGTGCTCAACATCGCAGTTGTAACTTGACAGCCTCTCAAGTGCCCTGTGCTGTCACTGTTTCAAGACATTTTTATTACCAGTGCATACCCAGCATGTCAAAGCAAGGACAGAGAAAGGGCACTTCAGAGTTACCCTTTGAAGCCCACTTTTCGTTATTGATTATTTCATTGATTATCGATTATTTCATTATTGAATTGTCATTGTGAGTTAGCACAGCATTGTGTTTATCATGCAGTAACACTAACTACAGGAAAAGAATACAACAGGCATCGGCATTACCAGACTGAACACCCATTGCAATATTCCCAACTCACAGGAAAGTGATATTTAGAAAAACTTAAGAATTTAAAATGGAATATTGCATCACAGCAGAATTTCTTCCCAAAAAATAAATCATTCTTCTCAAAAATAAAAAATGAGGATGAGGCAGCAATCAAAGTAAGCTTCTGATTGGCTCATTTGTTAGCCAAGCAACGAAAGCCATTGACTAATGGTGAGTTAATTAAATCTTGTTTGATTGCAGTAACTGAAGAAAAATGTCCTGAGAAAATAAGCTTGTTTGAGAACCATCAGCCTCCGGGTAAGAATAGGTGCTCAGGGAATGGAGGACACTGCAGATGACATCAGTGGCCAGTTAGCAAACAAGGCACATGATTTTGAGTGGTTTTCCTAGGCTCTCAGAGTCCCCGTGACTGCTCAGGAGTTGTTTATTTGCAAGTCAGTGCTAAGTTTGAAGTGCCTGGAGGGTCAGCCTTGGTGCTGGTCTCCCTGATACCACCTAAAGTGGAATCTGCTACGGTACCTTACAGCCAGTGGTGCTGAAAATGTGTGGGTCAGAAAAAGACTTGGACATGGGAACTAAAAGTGAGTTTGAGAAAAAGAAAATTTTAACAAATTTAAAAAGAAAAAGACTTGTACAAAACTAACAAAGCTTGTGAAAACATACGCTATTTGAACTTCATTGCCTTATTTATTAGCAGGTACTTTGCAGAGAATACTTCGATCTTTCATGTTATTAAACCAATGCTGTCTATGGTAGATTTCATGTGCCCTTGTGGATATAACCATCATCACTTTTATGAATTTTTGTCAGAATTAGAATCTGAATATCCTAACTTTACCTACCACACAGTATTTTCATGACTTAGCAGTGGTAAAGTTTGTGTGTGTGTGTGTGTGTGTGTGTGTGTGTGTGTGTGTTGGTTGGGAGTTTTTTGGTTTTGTTTTTTCTTTTTCTTTCCTTTTCTTTCTTTCTTTCTTTCTTTCCTTCTTCCTTCCTTCCTTTCCTTCCTTCCTTTCCTTCCTTCCTTCCTTCCTTTCTTTCTTTTCTTTCTTTCTTTCTTAGCTAAGAGCAGAGATTGTGATTTTTCTGAATGAGAAGCAGTACCTTTAACCACTATTGTCAAACACTGAATAGCTTTGGAAGTTAGCTTTTGCTAAAGACTTGATAATATTTTTTAATGAATTCAGTCTAGTATTACAAGGCAAAAACAACAGTCATATCTAAAACTGACAGTGCAATAAAGTCATTGTAGCAACAACTAATGTCACTTGAATCACAAGTGCTGTCACACTGCTTTACAGACATCCTGTGCTTGCAGAAGTGAGGAGAAGTGTGATCTTCGTTCCTGCACAGATTTGTGGCAGATGCATTTCCAAGTTCTAGCAGGGTTTTTTGGACCTCAATGGAAATGCAAAAGAAATTTCTACATTTCAAAATCCATTTAACTGCAGTCGAGGAGCTTCTAACTAACCTTCAATCAGAAGTGATTAATATGTAATAATGGCGTGATAAAAGGCATATACCAAGAGAAGAATTTAATAAAATTCTACAAATGCATCTAACCGATGATTCTCAAAATTATATTCCTCTGGACTGTATCAGTATTTCTGTGTGTAAAAACTCTTTCAAAGATGAAATATGTAAAATCTCATCGCAGATGAATATTATCAAGTGAACATGTACAATCAATTCTGATAAGAGGGGCACAACTTTTAACTCCAACTGAACAAATGTTATCCCTCCGGAAAGGATTCCATTCTTCTCATTCATAGGCCTGTGTCACGAAAAAATTACGCTTCATCGTTACTATATTCTGAATTTCATCAATAAAAAAATTTGTGGAAATTTGTTTTCTCTCCTGTTGTTGCAAGTACTTATATAATATCTCAGTTTTACAACTTAGCTCATAAAGCTTCAAATATTCATTTTGTGTTCCTTTATAGAAAGAGTTTGCTGGTCCCTGGGCTAGAGCATCCAGTACGATGTTGAGTAGAAGTTGGTGAGAACGGACATCCTTGTCTTATTTCTGACCTCACCAAAAAACTGAGTAGGATGTTTGCTGTGGGTTTCTCGCCGAGCTGAGGAAGTCCCCTCTTCCTAGTTTGCTGGGAGGTTATCAGGAATGGGTGTTGTCTGCTGCTTTTTCTGTATCTATGGAGATAGTCATGTGGTTTTTCTTTCTCTCTCTTTTTTTTGTTTTGCCCCTCAAAATTCAACTTGATCTCTTTTTCAGTTTGTTAATATAGTGAGTTACACTGATAGATTCTAAGCCAGTGCAGTGTTACTTTTTAATTTTTGTAAAAAGTGAGATCATATGATGTCTGTGTCGCATAATCTGCCCTTTTCCATAACAGTATATTGTGGTGCTTGTTTTGTGGCAGTAAATACGATCTGTGTCATCGTTTGTAAGGGCTGCATATAGTATCCCACTGAACAGTGTTCCACTGAACCCTGCTCTCATCCCAGGATGCTCAGATGTCGGGTTTATCTTCTGTCTACTCTGGAATGCGGTGCTGAGGAGGATTCTGAGGTGCTCTCGGCCTTAGCAAGGAATGTCTGCCGTGGGAGAGGAAGCAGGCATGAGCATGGCTGTTCTCATTGGCCCAACACCTGTTGTTGGACACGCAGAATTTAAGTTGTTTCTGATTTTTCAGAATTATAGAGAAGGCTTCAATGAGTATATGATTCATGTCTCCTTATGTACTTACCTGGGTACTTCCTTAGCATGGATTATTAGCAGTAGAATTTGGGGGTCAGTGATTAAGTTTTTAAAATATTTTTTTATATATAATGCCAAGTCACTTTCCTGAAAAATTATCCCAATTAACATTTCTGTACCTGTATATACCTGACATTAGGTATTATTATTTTCAATCTTTTTTCATTCTGACAGGTAAAAATTTTTTAAATGGGAATTATTAATAAAACAAGGTATCTGAAGCTGGGTTGTTCTCCACCTGTGCAGGTGGGTTCCCTCTTTTGCACTGGAGACGCTGATAGGAACGGCCTCTGCTGTCAAGCGCTGTATTCCAAGCCTCCATTGCAGAGCTGCCTTTTATGTAATTTCTGACGGAAACGTTTCTTCTCAAGCTGATCGCAGATTGTGCAGCCTGATCTGGTAGCCCGGTGTGCTGTGTTCAGCGCCAACGCTCCCTCTTACTCCTCTCACCCGAGGCCAGTCCGCTCACACCTCTTTGACTCTAGAGGCATCCTCCTTTTTGTGCCCGAGCGCTTTGCCCTGTGCATCCATTCATTCCTGTTCAGTCGGGTGTCTGCATCGCATCTGTGTAGGCTGGGACATGCCCAGGGCACGTTCATCTCTCCCAGAGCTCACGGTTTGCCGGGGAAGGCAAACATGCAGATAAAAAGTTTAATGAAGCGTTACTTGGTCGACTACACATAAGTTATTTTTCAGAGTGATTTTTAGGTTATTGGTTCTAACTTTTCTTTGCTACCCACTGTGTGGTCTGAGCAAGGGTGTGAGTAAGCCTTACGGTCACATAGACGGAGCATTTGCGGAAAGTCAGTCAGCAGCTGTCTTAGTCCCACAGAATCAGTCTTTCCTTGGAACATGCAAGATTCTGGCCTGGTCCTGCTGTCTGTCCCTGGCAGGGTCAGGCTGACACCCGTGCTTGGAGAGCCTCTGGTCTAGGTGGCAGGGCTGCGTGCTGGCCTCCTCGGGGCGGGGGTGGCTGAGCTGCTGTACTGGCCAGTAATCTAGACAACAGGCTCACTGAGGGGAAGCGCTAGGGCCGTTGCAGTGACTTGCTGCCTGTCTTCAGTAGGAAACTCACTCTGTGGGGCCTCCCTAGGATCTGTGCGGCTCGACTGTGGGCCACAGACACCAGGCGGCACTCCTGACCCACCACTGCACAGACGTGGGCCCAGAGTCCACAGCTGTGACTACCTGTAGGCTGGGAGGTTGGAGTGAACTCAGGCACACAGATGGCAGGCCCCCTGGGACATGTGGCCTTGGGCTATCCTTGTCCCCCTCAAGCCATCACCCACCTACAGCCAGTGAGTGCTCTTCTGGGACCCCTGAACCGGGGGCCTTGGGTGTCTCTGAGATGGTGGGGTATGTCACAGCCACAGGGACGGTGGGAGAACTAGGCGTCACATTCATTGCTGAGCTGTCGGTGTGGGGAGGAGTCCACTGGCTGAACTACCCGTGGTCAGCCATGAGATCTGACATGCCACCAGTGCTGCCTTAATGTGTGTCACACCCCAGGTGACGGTGGTTCCATGAGGCTTGTGGGCAGCTGAGGAGGTGGTGCCCAGGGGCTCCAGTGCCTGTCCAGCCATCACACTGGGCCTAGGGCAGGAGGCGTCTGCAGGTGCTTTGGCCAGTGCACATCCTGCTGTGCTGAGTGGGGTAGCCTTGGAGGAATCACAGTCTGAATTTGTTGTCTTTGTAATCCAAATCTGTAATTTTCTTCATGTGATATTTGTGAATAGAATTTTAATATAATTCATTGCCTACTTAAGATTAAAAGATTATGTATTGGTCTTTAACAGCGGAAATGAGAAAACAGAGGGAATTCTATCACAAACTGGGCATGGAGGTGCCCGGAGACGTCAAGGGGGAGGCTTGTTCTGCGAAGCAGCACGTGGACCCCCACCGGAATGGTGAGTGCCAGTGCGCTGCTGAGAAGTGCAGGCGGCCGTGCTCCTTCAGGCCTCATGTAGGCTCTCCCTGGGCCAGGCCGTCTGCATCAGACAGTAGCAAGACTGGGTTGGGGGTGGTACGAGCCTCTGCCCTAAGGTGTCCCCTTCACTCCTGGGTTGGGGGCCGGCTGGGGGCGTCCCAGAAAGTACTTGGACTCGGGCAAAGTCAGGGGCCGATGGCCTGTGGAAAATAGTGGAAGGTAAACTTCCTGAGGCTTGGAACTTGGCTTGTCTTTCTGTAAAATGGCCAAATATCAGTTTGCTTTCAGTGTAATGTTAGTGGTATTTTAAAATCTGGGAATGTCACAACAAATTACTCAAATCTGTGAGGCTGTGGCACTTTCCTGGTGGACCACACACATCCCTAAGGAGTTTGTAGACCACTCTATTCCTGACAATCTCGGGGTCCCAGCTGTTGTCACTGGGAAAACGACCAGCTCTAGTGGCCTTGAAGGTCCCAGGTGAGCGTGGCCATGAGAAGCAGTTAAGAAACGTATCTGGGGGCTGGGCATGGTGTCTCATGCCTGTAATCTTAGCACTCTGGAAGGCCGAGTCTCGAGGATCACTTGAGCTCAGGAGTTTGAGACCAGCCTGAGCAAGAGCGAGACCCCATCTCTACAAAAAAAATAGAAAAATTAGCCAGGCATGGTGGTGTGCACCTGTAGTACCAGCTGCGTGGGAGGCTGAGGCAGGAGGATCTCTTGAGCCCAGGAGTTGGAGGTTGTAGTGAGCTATGATGACGCTACTGCTCTCTAGCCAGGTGACAGAGTGAGGCTCTGTCTCAGGGAAAAAAAAAAAGAAATGTGTCTGGGAATCAAGGACTCTCGTTCTGTCTTACCTAAGGTGAAGTTTTAATTTGAAAGTAGCATCAAGATAGTAAAATTTCAGGAGTCAGGCTCTGTTGAAGGAGCTAGACTGACATGGTCAGCACTGAACAGCCATAGGCTGCTCTGGCCATCACTGGGCAGTGGAGCTCGCGTGTCCCTCCCACCCATCCCTCTTCTGTGCCCTGCCAACCACCCAGCCTGGCACCTGCTGCTGCGGGGACCTGCTAACGCAGGGGAGCACTGGGTTGCAGCAGATGTCGTGGGATGCTACTCTTTGGTCCAAAGCCTCTTGGTAGAGTGAGTTTTTGATGGTGTTCTGAGCATACTGTAGAGTTTTAAAAAATGGTTTAACTCTTTGGATTTCATGATACAATATTTTCTATTTGTGCTAAAAGGTGAAACCAAAGCAGATGACAGTTCAAACAAAGAGGCCACAGAGGAGAAGCCAGAGGAGGACCACGACTACCACAGGAGTGACGAGCAGGTGGGCAGCGTCTGTGTCTGCGGGGCTCTGAGCTGTCTGTCTCCATGTTCCCCCATTCCCAAACCACAACAGACAAGAGGTCGGGAAGGCCAAGGGGAGAGCTGCCAGGCATTGCTTGGTGCACTCCCTACCAACACCTTACTTTGTTTTTCTTTCTTCCTTTTAATTACCAAGATAATACACACCCAGCTGTGACAGAGCATAGGTCCCCTCAACTTGGGCCTCTTTGGTCCCATTCCCAGGTCTTCACATTCATCGTTTGGTGCCTTTTCTGCCAGGTGCATCTCTGTGTCTACGAATATGACATAAAAGAAAGAGAAGCCCAGTACATAAAAAAGAAAGTGAGGCTGTAATCCTAGCACTCTGGGAGGCTGAAGCAGGAGGATGGCTTGAGGTCAGGAGTTTGAGACCAACCTGAGCAAAAGTGAGACCCTGTCTCTACCAGAAATAGAAAAATTAGCTGGGCATGGTGGTGCACACCTGTAGTCCCAGCTACCTGGGAGGCTGGGGCAGGAGAATCGTTGAAGCCGAGGAGTTTGAGGTTGCAGTGAGCTGTGATGATACCAATGTACTCTAGCCAGGGTGACAGAGCTAGATTCTATCTCAAAAAAAAAGTAAGTGAGAGTGTAACATTGAGGAACCTATTCATGTGTCATTTTCTATATTATCAGCTGAGAAAAGAAAAATTAAACAATCACAGAGATGCTGTTAAAGAGTTTGATAAAATTCCACATCTACAGAACTTTTTAATATAGTATCTTAATTTAAAAACTATAACAGTCATTGTAATACTTTATGATGAAATAGAAGCATTGTCTCATTAAAATCAGAAATAAGAAAATGCCCATTATCAGTGGTTCCTCACCATGGTTTTGGAGGGTCTAGCCCATGCAATGGGGAAACAAAGAAATGAGATATATATGTGAGAAACAAAAATGCCATTATTCTCAGACAATACTCTTGCCTTATATACAATCAACCAGAAAATTGTTAGAATTTATTGCTGCTTGTTAGATGATTAGATCAGCATTTAAACATCAGAAGCCATGGAGGGGAGATCTTTATTCACATCACTAATAAACTGCAGGCCAGGTGTGGCAGGCTCGCACCTGTAGTCCCAGCTACCCGGGAGGCTGAGGCCAGAGGATTGCTTGAGCCCAGGAGTTGGAGGCTGCAGTGACTTATGATCACACCACTGCACTCCAGCCTGGGCAAGAAAGCGAAACCCCATCTCTAAAAAACAAACAAACAAAAACTTTAAAATGTCCTGTCTTCCTGGATGGAAAGATTGGTGTTAAGATGTCAGTTCTTCCCAAATTAACCTCAGTGGTTGCAATCCCAACAGCTGCTCAGAAGCTCATCTGGTAGATGAACGTTTGGCAATAGCCGTGAGACGTTTCAACAAAAAGGAAGGTCCAGTGGGCACTGGCCATGTTGGAAGACATAATAACTGAAATAGTGCAATTTTGGTGTAAGAGTAGAATGATAGAATCTTATTTTTTTTAGTTGACACATCCTGTACTATTAAAAAAAATGCAGTGAGCGTTACAGAAATAGACAGGGGTCTGTGTGGAAATATGGGATGTCATAAAGCTACATTCTGGGTAGGTGGAGAAGAGAGGGCTGCTGAGTGAAGGGCTCCCTCTGGGGCTGAAGAGCAGAAATTTTCTTTTTGAATGGCTCCTGGTTTCATCCTGGGTTAGGGTTGGGGTAGGGGTTAGGGTTGGGGTAGGGGTTAGGGTTGGGGTAGGGGTTAGGGTTGGGGTAGGAGTAGGGTTAGGGTAGGGGTAAGGGTTGGGGTAGGGGTTAGGATTAGGGTAGGCATAGGGTTGGGGTTAGGATTAGGTGGCAGAGGCATTGTCTGTTGATGGCTTGGAAGCCCCTCCTGGGATCATTTAATTCTTTTCTGTAGCATTGATCTCTGGGTCTGTGTACATGCTCTGGCTGTCTGGGTCAGCCTTTGTTACATGGATTTAGTCCTCCAGCATTGAGGGACTGCCTGGGATCTTTTGAAAACACAGATTGGGGTCTGCCTGGGGGCCGTCCTGGCCAGTGAGGGCCGTGGACTCTGGGGCATCTTGCCACAGGCCTAGTACCTCTGGGGCAGTTTTCCACAGATTGATGTAAACCTAATATTAATATATATTAAGTTTAATTTCTGTTTTGCAGTTTTAAATTTTTCCAGTAGTTAATGTTACTAATTTTTCCTTTTCTCTTTTATCGCAAACATGTCAAAGATTTGTCTATTTTATTAGTTGGTTTTTTTTTTTTAGAGATGGAGTCTCACTCTGTCACCCAGGCTAGAGTGCAGTGTGTGACAAGCCACCAGACATTTACCCAAACTCAAGTGATCTGTTGAGTAAATGGATGCCGTGCAGATGTTGTTCAAGCTTTGTCTTGCATAGCCTTAGGCCTGTTAATGAGCTACAAAGGACATCTTCAAGAAGGGAGGGAGCATGACCAGGTGTGCCCGACCTCCCTTCTTATGGCCAGCAACTCAGCTTTAGGGTTTTATGGGATCCCCTTAGCCAAGGCGGTGTCAATTCAGTCAGCTATGGGCTTAAGATTTTATTTTATGTATTTATTTATTCTTTTTTGTCACCCAGGCTAGAGCGCATAGCTCACTGCAGCCTCAAACTCCTGGGCTCAAGTAATCATCCTGCCTCAGCCTCCCAAGTAGCTGGGACTACTGACATGCGCCACCACACCCAGCTAATTTTTCTATTTTTTATAGAGATGGGGTCTCTTGCTCAGGCAAGACCTCCTGGCCTCAAGTGATCCTCCTGCCTCAGCCCCCCAAAGTGCTAGGATATTAGCTGCTTTCAAAAGAGCCACTTTTTGTTTCCAGTTGATTATTTAATTTTCTTAAAGCATATAGTTTGTTTGTTTGTTTGTTTCCTGGCTTCTTGAGTTAAAACCTTTCTTTATGTGTTCTTGGTCTTTTTTAAAAAACCCATTTAAGGCTATATATTTTGCTATGGATTCCTGGCTGCATCTCCCAGACTTTGGTAAATAATATTCTCATGGGCATTCATTTCTAAAGAGGGTATAATTTCATCATATTTCCTTTGTAATCAAGAAGTGTGTTCTCAAATATCCAAGTGAAGCAGCTTGTTTTGGCTCCAATTCGCCCTGAGTTTCTCGTCTTCTTCCCTTAGTGGTCAGCGGGTGCTGTCTACACTGACCTCTGCTTTATGGGATTGAGGTCTTCCTGTGGTCCACTTGAATGCGGATTTTCCAGGGGTGTGGGGGCCTGTTTATCCTTTGGCTGGGTTTGGCGGTGAGTGTGGTGGTGACACAGGTGGGAGGGACTCTCCTGCTAACCTCAGGGACCATCATCGCAGGTGGCTCAACCCTGCACCTCAGTTTCTTCATCTGCCATATGGGGGCAGTAATAGCAACTGCCTCTGGGTTTTTGTGAGGGTCAGATGATCTGTTTGTAGTGAAGTGAGTGCATGGTAAGCCATCCTTCATTCTCTTTATTCTTCTGGTGGCTGCACTGACATTTTCACACGTTTGGCCTTAGATTTCGTGTAAGTTTGTAGGATCGTCGACGTCCGTAACTCCTCAGAACAGGACCAGACTCTGTGACTTTTTTCTGAAAGCTGCTTTCACCATCTTCCCAAACTTGTAAGGTCATCTGACATTTTGTTCAGGTCGTTGGGAATTTTTAATTCTATTTCACACTATTTTTATTCCAGGAATTACCTCTTACTTTTACTTGGTTTTGATACAATATTAACAATTGTTTAGATTATATAGGTTTCTATGGGCTTTTTTAGTGTCTTTCTCCCATGATCTGATGGATTTACCCTCTGTCGTCCTTTCTCATGGGCCGTCTGGCATCCTCGCGTCCCTCCGGCAGTGTGGTAGTGATCTGAGTTCTGTGTGGTTCCCTCACATCTGAGTGATAATTTGGGTGGATATAGAATTCTAAATTCAAAATAACTTCGTCTCGTGACTTGTAAGTCCCTTCCTTCCTAAGTCACTCAGATGATTGATTGAATTATGCACTTTTAACACTAAGCATCAAAGAAAGAAAACAAGAACAGGTAGGAAAGTGCTCGCTGCAGAGCCCCAAGGGCCTGCTCCCAGGCCGGCCCCCAGCCGCATGCCACTGGACGTCCTCCTGTGGGGGTGGCCGTGGGCACTGCGTGCATGGGAGAGTCTGGCCACTTACAAGCCATGCTGGGCTCCAGCACGACTGTGTCATCCAACAGGGGACTCGGTGTTGAGGCTCAGGGTGGCATCTGAGTAAGCAGATTGCCCTTCCTCCAGACCTCTGCCCCCATCTGCTGAGGGCAGCCCGCCCTGCTTGCCAGCTGCCGGCAGGGATCTTAGGCACAGACCCTGAGGAACAGACCCCCAGGTGCCAGTGGCCCAGCCAAGTCTTCCTGCTGAGGGAGACTCGTAGTAAACCGCTGAGCAGCACAAAAGTGTGTCAGATCTGTGTGCTCAGAACAATGTCTAATAACCCAAAAATGTTCAATAAGGCCTTTGTGTCTCCGTTTTCTGAGGTAATAATCATGATACTTGTTTCTGTGGAAATTCCCTTTGTGGACTGATCCCCGTTCTTTACAGGTAAACTGTCCCCCTGCTTTGGGACCTTGTGGATTTCTCTTTATCTTGGGGTAGAGAGAGTCATGGGAATCCATCTCTTGCGATGTTTTTGCTTGTTCTGTCCTGAAGCCCGTGTATTCATCTCTTCCCTGCAGGGACGTTTTCGTCTCCTCCTCCTCCCACCCGCTCGGTGACCTCCCCGAGGACCAGAAGACTCTGGGCTTACCCTTCAGATCCCTAACTTGCTTTACAGCTGTTTTCGTGCATTTCTTTTTTAAAAATGCAAACCATCAGAATATTTAATTCGGAAGTCTCCTTCCTGCACCCTGACTTCTCCCTGGGCAGCGGCATGTGGCTCCTGTTCCAGATTTTTCCTCCCTGAGCTGTTTCTTCCGGAGACAGGCTTTGGACGGGCATTCCGCTCTGTCTGTCCTCAGGCC